GTAATATTTTATTATTATTTAATTATTATTATTATTATCATTATTATTTGTCATTACTATTATTTGCTTTTATTGTTGTTCTTATTATCAATTATTATCATTACATACAACAAACAATTGCATCCTTATTTGTTTTTATTGCATATTATTTTAAAAAATACTAACAATTTATTATTTCACTACATAATAATAAGTATAATTTATGATTGCTAATTATCTTGCAATTTTGGCAAAATTTGCTGATTATATTTTCATTGGTGCAATAAATGTTTTATATTGTTGCATGATTCACATTATTACTTTCACGAGAATTGATTTACATTATTACTTTTTATTGGCTTACTTCAAATATCTAACATTTATGCATACTTATTTTCCGTAATTTGAACTTTAAATATGTAAATGTATTCAGAGTATTTATAAAATTTAAATATTGACTTAGCCTTTTTCAAATTTAAGAACATTGCCACAAGAAAAGAAATTAAATCATTTATAAATATGCAAAATTATTTGTGCACTTTTTTAATTTCTCACAATAGTACTGAAATATTTACAATTTATATCAGAGATTGGTATAATTTTAAAGTAAAAAAGTAATACTAAAATAGGCTCGGATAAACGTATTAGAAACGTTTTGCTAGAAAAAATGTTCTTGAAAGTTTTTCCAAAATAAATTAAACTTTCATCATTCTTGTTCGCTGCTTTGAAGAGAAATTATTTATAATAATTTGAGGAAATTTGAACTAGTTTTGAGCTACTTTTGAAACGAACATTACTTGCCTTAAACGGAAATATTTGCCAAAGATTTTGATATGAATAACAATATTTGTTTTTCTTTTCAGCAAAAAAAAATTGCCACTTTGCTTTTATCAAAGCCTAGCAATGTTCGTTTCAAAGTAATTGTACAAGTATATGAGTGTATACATTGGCTTGTAATGATAATAAAGAGTTCAGAGCAAACTTTTTAAATTAATATAAGTAATATTTATTTTTATGAATTTAACTTATTGCCTAATTCCAACAAATTTATTAAAAATTATTATAAATTGAGTATAATACTTAATATTTAATTTGTGCTTTCCTTCAATGCTAATCCATTCCTTTCATTTCAAGTAAATGATAAATATCAATGATTGCTATAAACTCGTCGATGTAGTTTAATCATATCAAATTTATGCAAATTTAATGGCATTTGTAAAGAATTATTATTTGCTAAACACTTTTTTACATCGCTTTTTGCAATATATTTTGCATATTCGTTTGCTACAGCACTTTTTTTCGGCCTTATTCTTTTGCTTTGTGCTCTGAAAATGGAAAAGTACAGAAAAATTTTTTCAATTCATTTTTCGTAAGGAAAATTATTGCTGCGATACTTGCGAAAATTCGAAGAGATGAACTCAGCAAAACAACAGGGCAAAAGCTTCAAATCTCAGGTACACCCATAATTTCTTTCAAATCATATATATATATATATATATATATATATACTTTGTTTAGCAATATACGTACAGAATTTTAAAAGTTATTAATTAACGCATGTCATAATTTTTTGCTTAAAATTTAAATTTCAAACCAAAAATTAGAAAAGTTTACTTTGTGAGTAAATTCTACTTTTTTCATACTTTAAAATTACAAATTTTAAAACTAAAAAAGCCCAAATAGAATTCTGTTTTTGCTGCCATGCAAATTTCTTATTTATATACAATTCTTACGTAACTTTAATTTGAATGTGAATTAGCTTTTGAAAATTCATTAAATTGCTTTTTGTATTAATTTTGGGTATTATTTTAAGATGTCATCAATGGTAGACAAGGTTCGTCGAGGTGTAGCAAAAACAATACAAGCAGCTTCTGAAGGAGAAGCATTTGATACCTTGCCAGAGTGCGATATTCTAGCGACAAGTGACCGATTTGCTATCAAAATTCTGCCTTCTAATGAGTAAGATCTTAATTACATCTAATCCTTACAATTCTAGTAGTTCAAGTTGAAGTTGGAGTAATGAAATGGAAGTTAGTGCTAACAATTCAGTGATGCCTTAAAATATCAATGAATCCTGTTTTAAAATCTTGAAAATATATTTATGAAAAGATCAACTGCTGTACATAAATTCATATTTTGCAAAAAATGTTATCTCTCTTGAAAGATTTGTATCACATCCAAAAGCATTCCGTTTTTGAATCGTATTAAGTTTTATTTTTGGAAAACAGCAATTCATTCAGATATCCCTTTTTAAAACATTCAAAGTTAGTGATTCTCATCTGAATTTTAGGACTTTCAATGGATTTAGCAAGAAAAAAGTTTGTCAGAAATAATTTTAATTTTAAAATAAGCAATAATTTTTGCATCTGTTACCTAATACTCAATAAAGCATGGAGAATTATGTAGAATGAATAAATTGCTCTACTTAAATATTACGCAAAAATTAATCAAAATTCAAGAAAAAATGCAGCAAAAATCGAAAAAATTTGAAAAATTGGAAACAGTGACAAATTTAAAATGGATGAATAATTTTGCAAAAAATTTGGAAAATATTTTGAAGCAAATTTTTTCGTTTTTTATTTGCTTTGTTTTGAAAATTAAAACTGGCTTTGAAATATATCATATTTAAATATTTTCAAAAACTTTTCCAAAAATTTTTTTTTTCTAAAGAATTTTTCTAAATCATTTCAATTAATAATAAAATAAACAATTTAATTTTTAAACTTATTTGCTTTTTAATACTTGAAATTACTAAATTGAACTAAAAATAAAAAAATTATTATGCTGTATTCTTCCAAATTTTGAATTGTTCAAATTTGGTTTTGCTAGGAATCTACCTTCTGGATCCAATTTCACTCAAATTAAATTTGTTATCAAAGATAAGCGAGGTATACGTCAAACTGTTTACAACGGTGAAATGATCGCTTCACAAGGAATTGTAGTTAAAACTTTACGAGGACATCCCGTAATGGAAATTCGGCTTCCAGATAATTCGCAAAATTCTTTGGGCAAAATTTTGCATCCTGTTGGTTCAACTCTTTACAAAGTAAATTATGTCTTTTGCATTCATTAAATTTTATTGCTTAAAAAATATTCATAAAAATTGAACATTTTATTCTATGCTATTAGTTATTACCATACTTGTACTCTATAAATAAGCAAAAATATTATTAAAAAATTGATTATTTTTAGCATTATAAAGAATAAATGAAAGTATTGGTAATAGCAGTAATTACTATAATCATCAATTCAGGTAGAGCATTTGAAAACACATTCGTTTGGTCAAGAATTTGTTATATCAAAACTTGGAGAACCATTTTTGAATATTGTAAATACTCCGATTACACATGTAATTATATCATTCTTATCTTAATTGAAATGCTTTTTGAAAGTAGCATTTGATTCAGATGATTAAGGCAAACAATTTATTGCTGGATTACTATTATGACTTACTTTGCTTCTAGAATCTGAAGCTTTTATGACTTCTAAAAATACAAATTATTCAAAACACTTTGTTGATCGTGATGAAAATTCATTAATCAGAAGCATCAGTAATTATTTTTCTCATTCAATAACAAAAAAATATGAAAACATTTTAAAATTAATCTAAATTAAAAATTTTTACTTCCAAAAGTTTACTTATTTGAATTTTTTGTTAGAAAGTTG